GATAAATCTTCCTAATATTCACATTACAGTTATGACCCGATCCTGTCAATCTCTCCGCGCATCAGACTGTTATTTTTCAATAATTCCACATAATTGTAATTTCATACCTTCCTCCTTCAAGATGAATGTTTAAGATACGCATACTTTGCTAGCTGACAAAATGGGGTCATTGCTGTATAATTATTCTCTTTTTGCAGCCTTCATTCAGACTGGATCTATTGATTTAAATTATTTGAGTTTTCTTCCAGCTCTTTGATGACGGAACATCACTAGATTTATACTGTAATGATTCACTCTTACAGCTTTCACCCTGGTTTTGTCTGTTGATTTGATTTATTTGAATTGGTTTTCAGCTCTTTGGTGTTGGCAGTCGCGGGCGATCAATTTTGCTCATGCTCATGCTCTATGTTCATTTTCAGCATTTCGATGATGGAACGTCTTCAGATTTATATTATAAGGGGGCTTATTACGGATGTCACATCACGGTGAAAAGTTGTCACTTGTCGTCACGGTGAAGTGATTCACATTTGATTTGTACGGTAATCACGGCTCTTATTCTGAGTATCACTTTCTTATCACCGTGTAGTGACACCCGTAATAAGGCCCAATGATACACCATTTGGTTTTGGCTTCGGGCAAATCCAAGTATAATGCATGATAACACTGATTCATTTAAAACCATGGTCGCATCACTTATCAAGGTGAATCCTGATCCAACGAACCCAACTTACTAACAAAATCTCCTTTTCTGTGTCTTTTGTTGGAAATTTCAGGGTTACATCTTCCTTATTGGGAGCTGAGGGGACATAGAGCTGCATCATATTGTATGTAAAATAATTATTATTTTCATTGCGGAATACCAGTTTTTTTATCCATATAAATGTATTTTCATTATTACGTATTTTAATGTTCTGATATATTTCATTTCTCCATTACATATGTTTACTATATATATAAATAAATACTGGGTTGGGAGGGAGCATCAGGGTATCATTTGACCTGAAACTGGACGATTGGAGTGGTATGACAACCGGAGTCTAGGAGGGAATAAACACTATCATTTTCTTTATCCTACCGATTCGATTGTGATGGTGTGAATTCTACTCCAACAGTTTCAGTGAGATTGACGCGCCCTTCTTAACAAACCATCCTGTAGGAAGCTTAATAAGTATTGCGAATTGCGTTATTCGATTTGTTGGATCGTAACGTTGGAAGGAGATTCTTAAATTTCCGTGGATTTCGCGTAAGTGTCTCTGCTTACGGGTCCACCCCACCGTTTTTGGCCCTTCATACAGCGATATTGTGAATTCAGATCGGTAGCTCAAATTGATCTTGCTATTAAGTGGAGCTGCATACAAGACAAGATCTTCGAAGGGATGGTGGCTACCTTACATACATACATTACATACATACATGGTTTGAAAATGGGTATGTTTTACCCATTAATGGGTTTTCACGAAACACCGTGTATAAACCTTAGAGGAAGAGGAGACTAAAACCGAGGGGCACGCAATAACCTTTAACTCCTACGCAAGCCTTTTTTAAGTACAATAATTACAGTTAACTACATGATTAAGTACTTTAATTACGAGCGTCGGAATTTTTTTGATTTAACTACTTTTAAGTACAAATTTCAGCTTTAATTACAAGTCGCATAAATTAAGTACATTAACTCCATTAATGTATAGCGAGAAATGTACTTAAATTACCCCCAGCGGTCGTTAGACCCTTTCGTTATTGGCCCGTTAAACAAAAATTTCACAGGCCCTTTTGCTACGTTAAGGATAATGTCAGCTCTGATAGATTGTATCACTAAGAGGAAATCTACGTTGGTGATTGGTGCCAATTCACATGCAACGATCGGTTCGTGATTGGAAATGTAGTCGGATTTCAATACTGCCGAGGTGTAGGCAGGGCAAAAACCTATACCATGGATCACGCCCCTGTCAAAGCGCCGAAGAATGCGACAATGAAAGGAATGTTTGTTTGTGCTTACTGGTTCAACCTAAGAAAAACGGATTTAATTTGGTGGATGTGAACGAAAACAGAATTACAATAGAAAATTATGTTAAGCACGTTTTGCCTTATTGTATTTAACCTCAAAATGTATGGTTAAGGAGAAGTTTACCGCACCGAAAATATAGTTTATTCGACAAAGGCGCAGAAGGCGGTAGTTCTTTCGCTGGCCATTTCGCAGGATCAGAATTTTTTTTTGAGGCTGGTAAGGGGCTGCTCATAAACTACGTAGACATTTTTTTTTGGATTATCGACCCCCCTCCCCCTGCGTAGACAATTGTCCATACCAAATTTTTTAAATTTGTATGGGCTGTGCATAATTGTCAAACCCTCCCCCTCCCCCCAAACTGTCTACGTAGTTTATGAACAGCCCCAAAGAGAAAGAGCTGAACGGACACTGGAGCTGGTGAATACTTTGGACATTCACACGCTGCGCTACTTCCGGGAAAAAATCGCAGCTAGTATGCAATTGTCTTCCCGGCACGGATAACTTGAGTGTGTCAAGTTGATCGGTAACGATCATTTCGTGTCCTGTGCACATGGGACTCATCGTTTCCTATCGGTTTGGAGTTCTGCCCATAGTATTGTTTAGTTGACCCATGGAAAGACGAATAATGGGGAGGCGAATTTCATAAGTGCTATCGCGTCAATTCTGAATACGGATGTGATCATATGATGGCGATAATACAAATAAAAGCACACAATTGGTTTGAATCATCTTAGTGTCTGCAACCAAAACCTGATTATAATTTTTGTTTTTGTTAATGAACTCTGCCTTAAATCTGTTAATTATTATTAGTATAATAATATTAAGTTTGAAAGAAATATTGAAATAATCGAAGAATTCACGCGTAACATCAGAAAATTAATGCAAATGCAGATACATCTTCCATTGAATCTGTTAATTCAGGCACAAGCTAATATCATCATCTGTCGAACTGTGCTGCGAGCATGGCTTAAAAGTCGAACATTTTTTGATCGGGAGGAAATTTGCTCGAGGAAATGCTTGAATTTAAGGAAATGTCACTACTAAGTGATTCCCATTTCATTTGTATGGCAATCACGGCCCTCATTATGAGTATCACTTCCTTTTAACTGTATATTGTCGCTAGAGTTGTAAACCGATATAACCCACTCGTGACAATCGATTTTATTCTAGTTCTGCATTAAAGCGCATTATTCAACGAATACAGTGCACTAGATACGACATTTTTTTGAACGTACAAAACAAGAGGGAAATCGATTGTCGCGAGTGGATTATTTCAGTTTCCAACTCTAGCATGGTGCGTCAAGAAATTTAGTATAAGTATTCGCAGAATTGGTCATGTTTGTAGTCTAGTAAAACATTAATGGGCGTATTTCGGGGTGTAAGAAGTGTTTCTGAACAAAATTGATTCATTCGAGTATGTGTTAAGGGTTTTCTTCAATTTTTTTAAATAGTTCAAGAATAAGGATTTAGGTACGTTTTTAATTACATTTGTGTAACTTTAATTACAATAATTACAGAAAATAAATTTTTAATTACATTAATTACGTAATCAAATTGAAATGCGTGTTAATTACACTGGCACTGCTTTGATTACGCGAAATTAAATTTAATTACATGAAATACTTAATTTTCAGTTTTAATTACTTAATTACATAGTTGAACACCTCGTACTTTAAATCCAACGCAGTCAAAAAGGCTATTGCGTGCCCCTCGATTAAAACCACAAACGAAGTTTGTTTGTGCTAATACAACCTAGCCACAAACGAAGTGACAGACGGAGCGGCTCGAAAACTTTGGTGACTAACCTGCTATTGCAATTTTTCAGTGTACCACATGGCAACACCACTACTACTGGATTGTACCAACAATCAATACGAAACTAACGATTTTAAATTGGCTCACCACTTTAGTAGCCTATTGGTCCCAAGCAAACGATTAACGTACCCTATTCTAGTTGAAATTCTATTACTACACTATGTTTGTTTTGATTCGCTATGAAAGTTTGACAGATAACATCAGGGGTGTGTGGATTCATGCAGAACATGCAGGGGTGAGTGAAATAGCTTGGGACTGCTTGGGACCGTTGTTCTGGTACTGAGTGAGCCAAAAATAATAATGATTTTCTTCGGGACCCAGTGGTCTTAGAGTTACCTCTATGATTGTACCACATGGCAACACTACTACTAGATTGAACTAGCATTTTCACCAAATGTACTAGAATGTTTTGGTTCTATCTCTTTCACTCTACTCAAAACTGAAATGTATAAAAAAATGACAAAATGATACGTACTCTTTGCACACTGTCAAAGAATCATTGTACACAAAATCAACTTTGTTCAAATCAAAACAAAAAAACTAACCCATCTGGTGGATGATGGCACAAGCTTCCAAGAAAATTCTATTAAAGTGAACCACATTATTTTAATGGATTTCTTCGCCAGTTAGTCGTCTGTCACTTCGTTTGTGACCTAGCGAGCGTACCCTAATAGCCATGTAAAATCGATTTGTTTATTATTTTCAACCACGAAATCAGCTGTCAAAGTGTTCGACTTGAAAGCGGTTTGTTTTTTATTTCCAACCAGTAAAATGCATGTGCCAGTGAAACTTCTCACTAATACTAACGGTGGTAGAGAACTCTATAGATAAATAAAAAAATAATAGTTTTTGCTAAAGCCCTACAGTAAAAGTATGGACGACTGTCACCACAAAACTGAAAAAAGCTGTTCCAATCGAGCAAAGCGGTGCATTTTGACGGTTCGATTGGAACAACTTTTGACAGACGTCCATACTTTTACTGTAGGGCTTTAGTTTTTGCACGGTCGTTTCCGCGAGAGAAAAAGAACACATCACAAACAAAAAGAAGCCACCTGTCTCCTCTTCCTCTTAGGAATAAAACTGATAAATTTTAAGACTTTTTTGTATTTAATTGTGTAGGTATACATTTTTATATGTTTGTAAATTTTCTCGTAATTTCGTTGTTTTATTGGTTGCGATATGTAAACTGCGTATCATGTCAAGACAATTTTTTTAGATAGTAAAAATACATTATTCAGAGCAAACATGTCCTCTGGCCCGAACATCGGTAATGCTTCCAACGGAACACATTACTATACATAAGTTAACGCACTACTCTTCCGCAGAAACAGACATCGTAATCGAATTGTTGGAAATCTACATCAACTCGATCCTGTTTGCGCGCCAACTGTACCCGGCTGGAATCTTTCGACAGCGCCGAGCCTACAACATTCCGGTGTGGATCTCGATCTTCAAGCCCTTGAACGACTATCTGGCCAAAACACTTCGGGCAGCTCGGGAGTTAAAACACCGCCGAAAACTGCACAAAGTCGAACTTCTGATACTGAAAGATGAACCCGAAACCAGTTTGGAGAGTTACGTGTTCGAACTGGAAGATCACGAATTTTCGTTAAATACGGACGAAAACTTGTTGGACCTGGAAGAGCAGATTCGAAAATCGTTGTTGAACTTAGACTGCCGTCTGAAGGGTTTGAAGAAGCTGCCTTCGGATACCACGTTCAAGATTATGCTGTACACAACCGAATCGGCCTTCGCTGGACTCGGCAACAATCCCCGGATGCAAAGCTTTCCGTTGGTGAAAGAAACGAGCCAGGACTTAGCACCGAAATTGCATCGGACCAACACTCAACTGTTGCCAGTTTCACATACCCCTAACGTAGGCCTTCAGTTGTACGTGGAGGAATATCTATGATGTATTGTAATGTGTAGTTTACGTTGAATAATAATTATTTATTAAAAGTTGCAAACCCATATGATCAGTCAATAATACCACCATAAGCATTTTTCTCAGAAAAAAAAAATCCCGGATTGAAGGACTATAAAATACTGAATTTAATTATGGCTTTCGCTTGAAATCTTTGTATTCACCCATATTCTTGTTTTCGTTCAAACCGCATTTTCCATAAAAGAAAACTATTTTTTGTATGGAAAATACGGTTCGAACGAAAACGACAATATGGGTGATTATTCCAACAGCTGCTAATGGAAGCAGCACAAATATCTATTTAAGGTTTCCTTAAGATTCAATTTCATTGAGACTCTTCAGTAGTTTATAAAAAAAAATAATCAGAATATTTTGGGGTTTCTGGAGTGCTTTTTTAAATAGGTCGTATGTAACAAACGTAAACAAATTGAGATTTTAGAGCTACCAGACAATTTCAGCAGATTTGGAGAAATGTCTTGTTTGGGCGGTTCTTAAAGGTTGAAAGAGATTTTAACATTAATTTCTCTGGATTACTTGCGAAATAAAATCATAACAAACTGTGCAACTATTGTTATATCGTAAGATCTTTTTATTATACTGGAGCTTACAATTAAATCTTTACATCAATAGTTATCAGTACTGTAAATGCCGATTATCGGAAACAACCCTCTTCACTCTCTTCCATTACCATTTATTCGTCGAACGCGAACGAGTCATTTTTCATTTCTGTTTTCTTGTTCTGCGACTCATGCCAAGCCTTGTTGATCATTCTTTTCGTTTCCGGATCGCCTCCATCGTACAGCTGTTGCATTATCTTCATAAGACCTGAGGACGGATCCGTTTCCGTGTCTTTCGTGCTCTTCGACACCCGTTCATCCTTCATGTCCTGCAATCGCTTCGCAGTCACCGTTAGATGGGCCCACTTTGTCGGTCTCGACTTGGCCAGGTAGATGGCAACCATGTCCGATTTGACTTTACGATAGCTCTTGGCCGGATCGATTTCGTTCAACAGATGGTTCACCGTGAAGACGTAGTCCTTGTTATTCAGATTGCTGACCATCACATTGAACGAGTTGGCGGTGAATTCCACGTTTACATTCTCTTCCGGCACCTGTTGGACCTCGTTAACCGTAACGAAAATTTTGATAAACTTATCGCTCTGATCCCAAGCGTACTCCTTCAGTTCGATCCGATAGCGTTTGACGTCGCCCGGAACGGGTGCCGGCGGTTTCGATGTTTCCCCAGAAGATTGTTCCTTATCTTTTGCGGCTAACAGTTCCTTCTGGTGTTGCAGGTCAGTTTCCAGCTTACGAATATCGATGGACAGGATCTGCTGCACACGGGTACGTTGCGTACCCTCGGACAGTCGTCGCAGCTCCTCCAAATCCAAGATCAGCTGAAATGTGAAAATCCAAATTTTATAAAAGAAAGCCTCACCCAAAAATACCCAGTCTCTCACATTATCGATTAGGTGCTGCGCCATAGTGTTTGTTCAATATTATAACTTTAGTGCAGGTGCTTTGAGATAGTTTCTTGCTTATAAATTTTCACGTTTGTTGTTGTTTGAGTGAAAACGCCTTAAAATTTAACTTTAGCTTGTAGACGAACTCACAAGCACGACTTTCTACGACAATCTGGAAACATCGTAAGATTTTGACAGAAACTACCAGATCGACATCCATGTCAAGGAGAACAGGTCTGGCAATTTTGAGTATGGAATACGGAAACATACTCATCGATGATTAAAATTTAACCACTTTTGACGTATAGAACTGTCAATATAAAAAACCTATTTTGTTAAATTGACTTAAGAAAGGATTTAATTTAAAAGATGGGCAGTTTTATCGCAATGATTTGTGTTTTCATCTCAAATATGAATTCTTTTTAATTCAATTGCTTTTTACTTTGAAAGAAATAAAGCATAGAAATATTTAATTAAATATATTTTAGTTTATTTATATGATGCTGACTGAAAGGGCACGGCAGATGGAACTTGAAGTATTGGAAGCGTTTTACGCAAATATATAGTTGGCTCAACGGCTGGTGATGGTGATGGTGGAAGTAGCCTTCCTTTCCGGCAAGTCTGACGTGGCTGCTGAAAATCAAAACACATCAATTAGGAAAATCGGAACTAAGCAAACTCTTCCAAAATTTCATCATCTTACCTCCATATCCTGCAGCTGGAGGATCCTTCCGATCCTTCCACTTCATAGCGTCACCACGGATGTCTCGATCTTATTATTTGTATCTTACAGAAGAGAAACAAGCGCCCCGGTGGATGAAAATGTGGGAAAGTTCAAGAAACTGCTGCTGCTAAATCTCATCCTATATCTACACCCCAAATTATTTCGGTGTACGGCAGTGTAGCACCCTCGGTAACACCGGGGTAGCTACACCGCAAAAACGAAAACGACATAACAAGAACAACATGTGAAAAGGGCATACAAGCTTTTTGTAAACAAACCTTCTTCTGCCCTTTTCTCGCCACCCATATGACACCAACGTAAATCATCAACATTACCCAGTAGGGGAAACTTTCCCCTTCCCGATGGTGTTGTTGGTTTGCGTGGGCGACCCTCGGTTGGTAAGAAAAGGGCCTATAAAGGATTGTTTACAAAAAGCTTGTAAGCCCTTTTCACATAAGGCTCTTGATACGCAACGTTTATACCACAAACGAAGTGACAGACGGAGCGGCTCGAAAACTTTGGTGACGAACCTGCTATTGCAATTTTTCAGTGTACCACATGGCAACACCACTAATACCAACAATCAATACGAAACTAACGATTTTAAATTGGCTCACCACTTTAGTAGCCTATTGGTCCCAAGCAAACGATTAACGTACCCTATTCTAGTTGAAATTCTATTACTACACTATGTTTGTTTTGATTCGCTATGAAAGTTTGACAGATAACATCAGGGGTGTGTGGATTCATGCAGAACATGCAGGGGTGAGTGAAATAGCTTGGGACTGCTTGGGACCGTTGTTCTGGTACTGAGTGAGCCAAAAATAATAATGATTTTCTTCGGGACCCAGTGGTCTTAGAGTTACCTCTATGGTACCAGAGTTGAGCCAAAAACTTGAACACTTTTCGTCAGGACCTACTAGTCTTAGAGTGACCTCTATGGTTCTATGTGGTTCTATCATAGAAGTAACCCTAATAAAAAATTACCTTACACGAATGATAACCCAAATGATTGAACTATTCCACAAATGGTTTGGATGATACCACGAACACGTCGTTAAGCACATTAACCATAACATTTTTATTAGGGAACTCTAAGACTAGAAGGTCCCGAAATAACGTGCTCAACTTTTTGGCTCAGCTCTGGTACTCTCTTCAGTCCCAAGCTAATCAATTGATGAAGATAATCGATCAATGTAGATTGGTCAATTTGAAAGGTGATGCGAGATTTTAGGACAATATGTCACTTTTGGGCATACTGACAGCGGTAAAACCATAGAGGTAACTCTAAGACTAGAAGGTCCCGAAATAACGTGCTCAACTTTTTGGCTCAGCTCTGGTACTCTCTTCGGTCCCAAGCTAATCGATTCACCCCTCGAAACATAGGAAAAACCAATAACCCCTCATTTTATCTGTCAAACTTTCATAGCGAATCAAAACAAACATTGCGTAGTACTAGAATTTCGACTAGAATAGGGTACGGTAATCGTTTGCTTGGGACCAATAGGCTACTAAAGTGGTGAGCCAATTTAAAATCGTTAGTTTCGTATTGATTGTTGGTAAAACTGACGGAAGTACCACAGACAAACAGACATAACACATTGAATATTTCTCACTGTAAAACATCGTCGCTAAAACATTACCGCCATCTGTTGAGTACACTGTGGTGGGCACTACGCTGAATAGATGGCGGTAGTGTGTAAACGTCAAACGCAAGGGAATTGACTATGCGCGCCACAGGTGGCGATACTACCAACTGCGATACTTTTAAATTGTCCGTTAAAGGCTTATTCGATGAATAACTTGTGAGTGTTATGTCTGTTTGTCTGTGGAAGTACGCTTACTCTTAGCTTACTCTTTCACACTTGCATTGCAGTGCTGAATGCTAGAAAGAGTAGCCTGTTGCAGTCATCCTCACCTACTATATTCCCCTCGAAATTCGTGATTACTGCCCCCGTGAAAATAAATGTATGCATTTATTTGACGTCATCAAAAGGCTTAGCAAAGAGTCTTCTATTTCAGATGACAAGCACAAAGGCTTAACAAAAAGGGCCTAACCATTGAAACTAGGGGTAAGACAGATTTTGATATTAGGTCGTATGAATAAAAGCGTTTACTTTACTTTTCCCGTAAGAAAAGCACGGGAAAGTAAAGTAAACTCTTTTTATTCATACGGCCCATTGAGTCATACTGGAGTAAATTTTGAGTAAAGGCCGGCGCACAATGGATACGTTTTCAGGTTTTTTAACAGTTAGCCCATGCATTATCTGTCAAAAAACCCAAAAACGTATGCATTGTGCGCCGGCCTTAACTCTGAGTAACTCGAGTTGCTCAATATTCAATGCACGGTGACATAGCAACCTGTTTGATTTGTGTGCATTCCACGATTGTCAGTCAAAGACGTTTGACAAGGAAAATCTACGTGCATCATTCAACAACATTATATTCCGGATTGCCATCGACAAAACCTGTGTCGCAGCATGCAAAATCTGTGTATGCTTATTATTGGTTGGCGATGATAATTATTGGATTTTCCAGTGAACATGGAGTTGTACCATAATTTAAAGTCTTGATGATACACATGGTGGGCATTCCATTGTGAACATTTTGGCAGATTGCATACCCACCAACAAGATTCAAAATGTTTCAGTGCCCCATAAAAGTTTCACTTCACATGGCATCAAATACTACGGCTTTGTGATTCCAGGACTGTATTTCCCACGATTGAAAACCGAAGTTTTTGATGGTAGTTCTTTTTGTCTTCCTTCGCATCGCGTTTCACTCGCGACTGTGGAGGGCAATAATCATTGAGGAGTTGCAGTTTTCCATGAAGAGCGCCTGTTAATATTAAAACCTTTTCACTATGTTTAAACCGGGATTGATGGAAAGATCGTTGTCTAGTCACATATACAAATTTACTGCTCTATCAGAACAATTAAAACTGGAATTCGCAACTCATTTTAACTTATTTATTTATGATGCTGAAATCAACAATTGAAATAATACATCCTTGGCAACCCATCATTAATCACGCGTAAACGGGTTCGTTTCTCGGGATCATATCAGAAATATCATTATTGTCCCACCATAGTAGACAAATTCACACTGAAAAGAAATACACACAGATTAATGAGTATTTGATGCAACAATACAAAATAAAATACGGATAGGATCACTCCGACACTCTGACAGATAATGTATGTTTATACTGATTTAATTTTTAATTCATGGATGAATATGAGACTGGTTTGATCACTTTTGAGTAAATATGAGTTACTCCAATTTACTCGTTGTGAAAATATTAACTCTGAGTACAGCCAACAATCAATACGAAACTAACGATTTTAAATTGGCTCACCACTTTAGTAGCCTATTGGTCCCAAGCAAACGATTAACGTACCCTATTCTAGTTGAAATTCTATTACTACACTATGTTTGTTTTGATTCGCTATGAAAGTTTGACAGATAACATCAGGGGTGTGTGGATTCATGCAGAACATGCAGGGGTGAGTGAAATAGCTTGGGACTGCTTGGGACCGTTGTTCTGGTACTGAGTGAGCCAAAAATAATAATGATTTTCTTCGGGACCCAGTGGTCTTAGAGTTACCTCTATGGTACAGCCGTCTTGCCCCTAGCATTGAAAGATTCACAAATAGGCTTATTAATTGGTGGAATTAAATTATTATCGATTTTCATGTATGTTTGAAAACTTTTCGCATATTTCACTGTACTGAGATACAGTTAAAAGTGTTATTTTATACAATTTACATGCCTAAAAGTATGAATTAAATTACCGGTAAAGGCCTGTATAGAGATCGAAGCGAAGCGAAAACCTCATACAAAATACTAAATTTTTCACCTGCATGAAAAACGCATTCGGCAAATTTTTCACTTCGCTTTGAACTGTAAACAGATACGATCCAGCGAAATCTAATTTTGTTGATCGTATCTTTTTCGCTTACGTTTATTTTTTCGCACATGCAGCGCTAGCGAAAAGAGCAGCAGCTAAGCGAAAAGTTGACGTTTCGAGAAAGAGCGTATCTGTCAGATTTTCACTTCACCGGAGGTGTTAACTGATCGATTTCGTTTCACATGAACTGTAAACTGCGAAAAACCTTTTTTTTTCACCTTTTTCGCTAGCAAAATTTCATGATTTTTCGCGTGCTTCAATTTTTGTTTTGCTTCGCTTAAGGTGATACGGCACGTCATGCAACAATGGCTGTCCCTACAATCATTAAATAAACGTGTTTTGGTATGCGTACGAAAGACATCTTCCTACAAAACAGTAAATTACTAAGTACATACCTTAAAAAAATGGGCCTGAATTGTATGAATAAGTTCTGGATTCATATTTCAATACTTTTCCACCAAACTATTGCCAATTCATTCACGCATTGGTAATATTTGCATTAAAAAGTACGATCAGCCAATTTTGTTCTGCTCAGGGCATGAAATTTCAATAACTGTTTTCACTAGCTTTCACTTCTCAAAACCACACTAAACACAATTACGACACGTGCTTCTACAAGCACTTTCAATTTAATTCACTTTTAAAGACGACATTTACTTTAATAATATCATTTGCATCGTTAAAAATGCGAGCCGCGAATAGTTTTGCAAGCTGAAACTGTTTTGTTTGCCTTTTTTCTACACACCGCATTACGAAGGTGTGCGTACGAATCATCTATCATCGCATCCAGTGTTGTCGATTTAATTGAAGCAAAGTGTGTAAAAACCGAGGGAAAAACCAATAACCCCTCATTTTATCTGTCAAACTTTCTTAGAGAATCAAAACAAACATTGTGTAGTACTAGAATTTCGACATCGCACGGTTCTCTTTGAAAAAGATTGCTACAAATTTGGTACGCCTATAATTCAAAAACTGAAAGAGTTGAGATAATAGATAATTGATCAATTAAAAGAACTAAATGTTCTTCACATTTATACCGTCCACTAGTGGTCCTACGTCAACCTTTCGTTCGTGTCCCTAGGCACAGACCCTTCTACTTTTTTTTAAAAATGATCAAGGTTGAAATTTACAGTAAGATGGACATAACTTATTCTTTACCTTTCTAATTTTTTTTCAACTGTTCCACATTCGACCTAATAATAACGAACTCTAGCAGCTATGTTTACGGTGGTTGCGGTAGTGCATGATGTACACTCACACCACTATAGCATCAATGATAATCAATTCACTGATACATAGAAAGGAGCGAAAAAAAGCGTGACGTATCATCTTAAGCAAACAATTTACAATTCATTTTGAACATAGGCCCTTTGCAAATATAACGCGAGACTTGTCTAAAATGAACCAAACAGGTCTGGGCTAAAGCCCTACAGTAAAAGTATGGACGACTGTCACCACAAAACTGAAAAAAGCTGTTCCAATCGAGCAAAGCGGTGCATTTTGACGGTTCGATTGGAACAACTTTTGACAGACGTCCATACTTTTACTGTAGGGCTTTAGTCTGGGCCATAAAAAAAGAAAACGAAAAAATATTGTTGACGATTTCTGATAAGAAAATAAGCGCGCGTTGCCGTGATGCGCCGCTCTCTTTTCCGGTGTTTGGGAAAAACAACCAAGCGCCACCATCCGGCTCTCTCTCTCTTTCTCACCGGATTATCCGGAAATTTTCTCCGGATTTGTGTGCGTATGCCGTGAAGCGAAGTGTAAACAAAATTTTTAATACAAAAGAGAACAATCCTGTCGAATGGTGGTGGGTGGTGATCCATACGTCAGTGGCACATTGCAGTGGCGAGTTCGTTCTCGTCGTACCTCGTTGTTTTCACGGTGAACACAGCAGCAGCTACCGTTTTATTAGTGCGAAACTAGTTTCCTAAATTTGCATTTTCTCCTTGTGTACGGTGAACCATTCGGTTTCGTTTCGATCTGGGATACAGGAACGCCTAGCTTTACTATACACACTCGGGACGCGCTGTGCAGAAAATTCCACACATCGCGGGAAGAGACAGGGTAAATCGATTTTTCACCCACCCGTGTGCACTGTATATCAATATAAGGGTAGGTATATACTGTTTAGTCATATTTCGATATGAGCTGGTGAAAGTTATATTTTCCTTTGAATACTGACGTAATTTAACATTAGAAACTCGATTATTTCCATACAATAGGACTCAAAGGAGGAACAAACACTCCCACCGTACATTTTTGCTATACACAATATTGCCTAGCCTACATTATATATAACAACAGCGCAATCTGCAAAGCTGCCATTACCAGCTGGTGGGTGGGCTTAGAGGGAAAAATTTAATTCATCATCGGTGCAGTTAAATTTTCCCCCGAGGGCAGAATAGAATATAGCTCTGAAAAGTTTAGATTTTCATCTTTGCCTTTAGTTGCATACGGTTATTTGTCGGAGGTAGAGCTCTCGCATTGTTTCGAGCGGGAGTGCAATTAGAAAAAGGCTTCAAAATAGGTCAGCTCAACAGTATTCGCTTCAACGAAGACGGAACGGCCAGGATGCACGAGGGTGAGATAGTGATAAAGAAGGTACAGGGGCATGTCCCGAAATCTGGTGCCCCGCGGGAGAAGAAATCTGATTCGACGATTACCTATCGTTTAACGCGGGACGACATCTCCGGAGGGCCGGTCAACTTGGACGAAATCGAACCGGGCCTTTGGCTAGGAAATGTGACGGCAGCAGCTGATTTGCCCACGCTGGAGAAGCTTGCCATCCGCAGCGTGCTGACGATCGATTCCTGTCCGCTGCCGGCGCACGTCACCGAGAATCCTAGCCTAAGGGTAAAATATATTCAAGGTGAGTAGTAAGGGACCGGGGAAGAGAGAGCAAGGCACTTTAATAAAAGATAAATACGAGCTCTCGTTTCATTCTTCTTCTTCTTGTTTGCAGCTTCCGATGTGCCAAGAGAGGATTTAATCAAACACTTTGATGATACCAACAACTTTATCAGGGAGAGCTTGGAGGAGGAGAGGAACGTACTTGTGCACTGGTGAGTGACTACGGAGGAATTTAAATTCGATTAAATTGCTTCTATTACGACCTAATGGGAAATACATTTTTTTTCCATTGCAGCTATTTTGGTGTGAGTCGCAGTGCCACTATCGTGATTGCATTCATCATGAACAAGTACAAGCTGACCTACGATGCGGCTCTGCAACGGGTCAAGTCAAAGCGACGTTTTGTGATGCCCAATCCGGGTTTCATCAATCAGCTGAAGCTGTTCAGCATCATGAGCTATCGGATCGATCCGCAGAATGAAAAATACAAGTTGTTTCGATTGAAGCTGGCGGCGGACAATGTGCGGAAAGGTAAGTGTTGGCATCTGTTTTGTCGAAGTGAGGCTTGGGAGGAATCATTAAACAGAATTGAGAGGCCTACTTATGAATGAGCATGGATTGGGATATCACGTCAGAAGAATAATGGCAGAAATGCGGGGTGTAATGAAATACCAAGTTTAATATCCGGCAGGCGGATATGGATGTAGACGTTGGTATGATATATTCAATTGGGTAGTTAACTGAAGCCGGTCGCTAATGGGATATTGTAATTTTAGCTACAGAGCACTTAAGGGTTTCGATAGCAAAGCTACCAAATTTGAATGCAATGTTCTTGTCGGTGGTCATGTTTTCAGCCGCAAAGATACCATTTGGTTCTTTTCGGGAAAACTTGAAGCACTATTTACCGTAAAAAATAATTAAACCAGAAGATTATCCAATTTATATCAGTAAATTTATTAGATTTTTTAAACATTATTTTTGATATTTATAGCCGTAGGCTAGTTCATCTTGTCCATGAAAGGTGGGGCCTCAGAAGGAGGACCCCCAACAGAGTAGTTTTTTACAGTGTTTACTTCAAACGAAAATTGGTTCCCGGCTCGATCGTACATTTACACAACATACTAAAGACACAACTTTAAAATCTGAATAAGACAGAGCTCCACACCGTGGGGACCGGGAGGGCCCCCACCAGACAGAGTTGGCCCAACAGCCAAAATGAATTAAAAAAGACTAAACTTTAAAATACAATGCAGCATCCTATAAAAAGCGCATTACTGCTGCCAGTGTTGAGGGATCATCACCCAGCATGTCGCGTATGCTATTTGGAAGCCCGTGGAATTCCCGCAGGTTCTGATACTGAGGGCATACGCATAGAATGTGCTCGATTGAGGCTGGAGTTCTACAACCGGCGCAAGTCCTGTGCGAGATCTTGGTGTGACCGGTTCTCAAACGCGACGCTATCTTCTGATCCCGCTGGTTCAACTGTTCTGTCCATTTCCTCGTTGTCCCTTTGATCCGTCTGATGAAGAGGGAGCGGTTTTGGGCCCACTCTGCGTCTCAGTACTTTGCTCACGATCCAACGCTTGACATCGTGTAACGGTACTTCGTTGGTATAGCGAGGGGCAGATGGTCTTGCCCCAGCCAGAAAGTCAGCTTCAGAGTTGCCTGGTATTCCGCAGTGCCCCGGAACCCAGCAGAATACCTTGTTTGGTGGCGAGGACTTCATCGTCGCCTGTACCGAGGGATGAGTCGGGGCCTCGGATGTCAGGGCGTCATACAAGCTGTGCAAATCCGTGAGAACCAGGATCGGTCGGTCGGAGAGCTTTGTAGCAGCGATGAAGATGGCAGCAGCTTCAGCAGAGAAGACAGAACATTGCGGCGGTAAGCTGCAGCTGGTTGGTGTAATGTTTCCGGCTAGACCGATACCGACCCCGGCCCGAGCGCGAGATCCGTCCGTGTATCGGTGAGTGTGAGTGGGGTATTTTCTCCTAACATTTCAGCTACAGTTCTTTTCATGGCCACAGAATTGTGTCCGGCTTTGAACCTGTCCTTAATCCGGCTTTCGATTTTTGGTAATGGTGTTTGCCAGCATTTGTTTCCATGCCAGTGGACCCTAGCCACTGGGGGAAGATCTTCGTTGGTAGCCGTGCGGAAGAGTCTGTTTCCCTCGTCGAGGAGGAAGATCCCTTGATTTCCGGATGTCTTCGAGATGAAAGCAGCGGCTTTGGTTGCGACAGATGCGGTTATACGGAAGCGGAAAGACAGGATGCCTGCGTCGATCCATGCAACGTCAGCGGGCGTGGATGACAGTAGACCAGAGACAATCCGGACGTAGGTGTTGTAGACTGGTGCTAACGTAGCTAAAAGCTAATCCATTGCGATGCAGGTTGTTGGAGGCGGAGTTTCCAGCGGTTTTCTCCGACAAGTTGGGCATCTGTACGAAGATGAAGATCAAGTTGGAGCTGAAGTCAGGCAAATCTCCCGTGTTCCGGCCGAATGCCCGGTCGCTTACGCGATGCAGTGGGCTGTGGATGATGAACTAGACCGACTGGAGCAGGAACAGATCATCACGCCAGTAGACTTCGCGGAGTGGGCCGCTCCAATCGTGGTGGTCCGCAAGTCAAGCGGGTCGATTCGGATATGTGGTGACTATTCAACGGGGTTAAATGACGGGTTACTGCCTCATCAGTACCTACTCCCGTTACCACAGGATATCTTTGCGAGTCTGGCTAACTGCACCGTTTTCAGCCAGATCGATTTGACTGATGCATTCCTGCAAATGGAAATGGATGAAGGCTTACGCGAGATGCTTACGATTAACACTCATCGGGGTCTGTATAGGTATAATCGTCTTCCACCTGGAGTGAAGGCGGTGCCAGGAGCATTCCAGCAAGTGATCGATACGATGCTCGCTGGCCTTGTTCGTACCAGTGGGTATCTTGACGACGTAGTAGTTGGTGGTATCGATGCAGCGCACCCGCGCACTCACGAAGGCTGAACACCGCAAGCGATGTATGCAGCAACTTCACCAAGGCCATCCAGGGATCGTAAGAATGAAGGCCCTCGCTAGAGGTTATATCTATTGGCCTTCCCTGGATCAGAACATCGCGTCGTTCGGGAAGGCATGCAAACAGTGTGCATTAGCAGCGAAATCTCCTCCACACGCAGCACCTGTTCCACGCCTGGTGGACCGTGGCAGCGCGTCCATATTGATTTTGCCGGAAACTATTTTTTACTGGTCATCGACGCCTACTCCAAATGGCCAGAGGTGATTGTAACTCGTCGCATCAGTTCAGTGGCCACAATCGGTATTCTTCGCAACCTGTTTTCTCGCTTGGGGATTCCAGAGACGCTCGTCAGCGATAACGGCCCACAATTTCGAGCGACGAGTTTCAACAGTTTTGTGCGACCAGCGGCATCCAGCCTATAACTACCGCACCGTTCCACCCACAATCTAATGGGCAGGCAGAACGGTTTGTGGATAAATTTAAGCGGGCGTTGCAGAAAATCCAAGCGGGAGGAAGACCATGGAAGAAGCGTTGGACATTTTTCTGCTGACGTATCGATCTTCACCAAACCGCCAGGTCACGGACGGCCTGTCTCCAGCAGAAGCAATGTTTGGGCGTCGCATCCGTACAAGCCTTGATCTTCTTCGCCCTCCAGTACACCCACCTCCAACGCAGCAAGCAGAGGGCACACCAAGAAGAAGCTTTGCGCCTCACGACCTGGTCTATGTCAAAATTTACAGCAACAACAAGTGGAGTTGGGAACCAGGGCCCTGCAGGGGTCATCTGCGAAAAGATTGGCCGAGTGATGTACTCTGTATGGGTAAACGATCGACGGCTGACAAGATCGCACGTGAATCAACTGCGTGATCGTGGGGTATCTGCAGGCAGTGATCCAGCTCACCAAAGTAAGCTACCGCTTGATGTCCTGCTAGACAGCTGGAATTTACCTACACAGAAAAAAAAGTTGTTGAATATTACATCCAAACTGCTGCAACCAGGTCAATCCATCGGTTGTGTAATATAACGTTGTACGATGTACATCGATTTTGCGAACAAAATTACAACCATTGATGTAATATTGTATCTGCTTTTTGCTATTACATCATTATTTCATACATCAGCTTAAATTACATTGATCGATATTACATTTTTTTTTGCTGTGTAGGTCTACTGCCCCAGTTGGCTCACCGTCTCTGTCGGATGTACCGACGCCTCAATTGACACCTAGATCTAGTTCGTCGAGTTCAGCAGACTCTCCGGATTTTAGCAAATTAACCATACAATTTTTATTAGGGTACTGAGTGGGCCCAACTGGCTATGGCGGAGACTGCCGCTTGGGCTCTCATCCTTGTACGTACTGGCGTGGGTCCGGTGGTGACGATGAGGATTTCGCCGGCCTAGACGAACACATATCTAGATAGAGCTGGAATTAGGGCGTAACAGCTTTTGTAAACAAAGGCTTCTTTCGATGATTTCTAGAAAGTCAAGACTAACCAACGCAAATCAACATCACCATCGGGTAGGGGAAGACTTCCCCTACCCGACGTTATGTTGGTTTGCGTAGGTGAGCCTTAAATTTCTGGAAATCGAGAGAAGTCATTGTTTACAAAAGCTGTTACGCCCTAATTCCAGCTCTTTCTAGATATATGTTTTTCGGTAGTTGACGGAAGACTCCGTTCATCGCCACGAGGAACAGGGTAACGGCGATAACCGATCCTTGTGGGACACCCGTTTCCTCGGGGAAAAGCCGGGATTTGGTGTTGCTGACTGCGACTCGGAATGAGCGGTTGGACAAGAAGTTCTGGATGAAGTGAACGATGGGTCCGTTAATGCCTCAGTCGATTAGTTGCTTAAGGACGAGGGGCACTATCTCGGTGTGCAAACCACTGTCGTAGGTGTTCTTGAGAACTAGGTGGACGTTCCGAAACCTTGTCGGAAAGCGTACTGTCGGTGATCAATGAAATTTCCAGCTTCGAGGTGTTGCTTCAGTCTTTGATTGACCATACGCTCTAGAACTTGGGCCATACAACATGTTAGCGCTATTGGACGGAACTTGCTGACTTCACGGGTGGCTACCCCGGCTTTCGGGATGGGAACTACCAGGCTTTCCTTCCATACTGCTGGGTACCCGTTAGTGAGCCAGAGCTTGTTGAAGAGGTAGCCTCTTGAGTAGAGGATATCCTATTTCGTCGGGTCCCGCCGACTTCCCGTTCCTGCAGCGAACGGTATGCTGCAGTTCCTGCCAAGAGAAAGAGTAGTTTAAACTGGTACTGGCGGTGTCGGTGGGTACTATGAAGTCTGCGATGGATGGCTTGGTTTTCTGGTTGAACTTGTTGTCATACTTGTCAATGGTTGCGAGCTCGGCGAAGTAGGTACCGAGTAGTTCTGCAAAATAAGTGCAAGTCCAAGTAGATGCTCACCTAATCAAACATCACGTATTGCTTGAATAGCTTGCTTGAGTTTCACCTTCTTCTGAAGATCTCGGAACATCTTCTTTCCTTTATTTAACGTCGGTCTCTGTTCCGCAATCTAGTGTCAATCACCGACGGACATCGATTGGCAGTCGATGACGGCAATCGAATGTGCAGGAAGGCAGCTGCCACACCTGCGTAGGATATCGCACCCATTCAAACGCACATTGGCCGGGACCAACGGCTTTACTTCCCTTCCGAAGGAAGACGTGACCAGAGATTTTTATGCCCCAGAAAAATCCCACCGACTTCGGCTGGGATACCTACTTGAGCACAGGAACCTACCTAACTACTTAAACTAAGTTGCCAAATCACGAATGATCTGATGGTTTGATCGCAGGTGATTCTGAACCTTTCCAGCGTGGACGTCTTACGCTCCTCGAGTGTTTGAAGGCCGGCCTGGTGGTGAATTCCAGAATTACTAGTTCGCGGGGGACTGTTAAGGATCATTCTGAGTATCTTGTTTTGGATCCTGTGAAGTTTTAGGTGGTGGCACTTAGCACAACTCTCCCAGATTGGCATACCATACTCAATAGCGGGCAGAATGATCTACTTGTGAACAGCAAGCTTGTTTTTGAGGGACAGGGTGGACTTCCTCTTTATCAGAGGGTAGAGGTGCACTTGGTGCACAACACCACATGGAATGTTAAAAATGCACAACATCCACATGGAATCGGAATAGCAATTCGCTATTGAGGGAGAGACCAAGGTAGACTACTTCACTCGACCATTCAATTGGAGTGGTATCAAGATGAACCTTGACGTTAGCAGGCGGAACAAGCCGAGGTGAATTCGAGTGTGATACAGAATGGTTTGTGTTTTAGCTGCATTGATACAAATCTTCCAGCTCTTGAAATAGTGGGACAGAACATCTAGGCCTGATTGTAGTTTACTCGTCAGAGCACGGATCACTCGACCCTTATAGATGATGAAGGTGTCATCTGCGAACATTGACAGGATACCACCACCCGGCATGGGAGGAACCTCTGATGCTACTCTGAGGGACCCCTGCATCAACGTTGAACGTATCAGAGGGGACATTGTTCAAGTAGACCTGGAATGATCTGCCCGACAAGTAGTTTTTGATGATCTTCACGAGGTAGATCGGAAAGTTGTATCGATGCAGTTTGTACACTAGGCCATCATGCCAGACATTGTCAAATGCCTTCTCAACGTCCAACAATGCCATAGCAGATGTTTCTGAAACGGACTTGTTCCGCCCGATGATATTAATAACTCTACTTAGTTGGTGGATCGTTGGATGAGCTTTCCCAAACCCGAATTGCTCCTTGAGTGAGATGTTATTTTCGTTGGAGAACTCCAGCAACCGGCTGAGTATCAACTTTTCGAATAGCTTCAAGATGGAGGACAAGAGGCTGATGGGGCGATAGCTTTTGGCACTGGTAGGTTCTTTGCCAGGCTTGTGTATTGGAATCACTTTGGCTAACTTCCAGCATGCAGGGAAGTAGCCAAGCTCCAAACATTTGTTGAAGATAACGGCAAGATGGTTGAAGAAGTCAATACTCAAGTTTTTCAACTCGAGGTTGACTACACCAGCCATTCCATACCCACGGCCCTTAATGTTTTTCGTGCTATCACCTCATCAGCCGATATTCTACTATCATCATGCACTACTACGGGGATGTCAGCGACTCTAGACATTCCCCTCTATTCTGCGAGTCACGTGACTCTCTCTCACCGGTGAGGTAACAATAGTCACCTCGTGTGAGGTGACTCACGAGGTGACAATTGTCACCTCACCGGTGACAGAGAGTGATTCACGTGACGCGCAGAATTAGAGGGATTGCCTCCAGTACGGCAGGCCCATGGGGGCTCACCATGGTTTGGCCAAGATTATGTGAAATCACAAAATGTTGGCCAAGAGCATTGGCCTTTTCAACAGGGGTTATGAGTAGGGATGGGTACAAGTTCTGGTCAACAGAAGGAGGGATCGGTCTCGACTTATTTTTCAAAATTTTGGTCATCTTCCAAAATGGTTTTGCAAAATCTGGGAGAGACCGAATCTTGTTAGCAAAATCGTTATTTCTGAGTTCCACCATCCTGGCCTGGATAATATTGGTTAGCCTATTGACAATGGTCTTTAAGTGGGGCAGCAGTTCAATTATCCGAATGATAATTTTAGTAAAGTGTGAGCTAAGTAAAAGTTCGATCATAACTAATTGCAAACTATTTCCATTCCGCTTTCAGCGAAACGCCTTCCGGTGAACTGCATGGATGTGGTCAAACCGGATCCGGCCATCACGCAGGAAATGCCCGACCCGATCGTCTATCGGTGTCGCAAATGTCGCCGAGTGGTCGCTACCAAGAGCAACCTGCTGATGCACAAGCTGAAACCTCCGGGTCAGTCACCTGCCAAGCACAATTCGCTGAGCGACGTGGCAGGATTCCACGACGACGAATCCGACAGCGAACATAAGGAGGAGGAAGTGGGAGAAACGGCTTGCGGTGGAAGTGTGGTGCCACCCGCTTCGTCGGTGGACGATCCGGAATTGAAGGGTAAGGAGCCGTCGCTGTCCTACGTTACGGAACAGATGCGACGTAGTTCGATCAGCAGTGATCAAAGCAATCGATCGTCGGAGAAGGACGGAATTTGTAGCAGAATCTACTTTACCGAACCGCTTGCCTGGATGACGGACATCTTCCACAATACGCAGGGACGATTGTACTGTCCCAAGTGTACGGTCAAGTTGGGCAGCTTCAACTGGGTGATGGGTATTAGACTATTATCAATTGATTTTCGGTTTGTATTTTACAATGTTGCTCTTTGATTGCAGCCACCAAATGTCCTTGTGGTGCGGAGATCTACCCAGCATTCTACTTGGTGCCGTCGAAGACGGAGTACTCTACCGTGGTGCAGAACGTCCAGGTGACGGTGTAATTTGGACGTAAGTAGCACTCGCCAGCGCGGGAAGGTAGATTTGCAAATTTCTGTTGTGTGTGCGTAAATCAAAAGCAGAATGCAAACCGAATCAAATTAATTCTTCCTGTTGCTGCGCTGATAAGCTTGGGTCACATTGACTGGTACATAACTCTGATTAAGGCAACGGGAGAATTACTTCTAGCACAAAGATGCATTTACTGCGCTACTTATACTTATACAATAGCTACTCATACAACTTTAACAAGTATATAATACCGAACAGTAATGCAACCGGAACCAAGCTGAACTTATTTGACTATCGAACTCATGTTATACAAGCGCTCCCATCACCCATCCCACAGGATTTTCCGTTCCAACCCTTGGTACAAAATTGTGCTACAAGGTCTTTTTGGTTAGTTACCACAGCTGCTAACAATAGCGACAATTTTAACGTAAAACTTTAGTTCAGTGTGGCGAATTTATCTGCGAGCCATTCACAAAATCGCAACATTTAAGATGCAATACTCGTTTTTTTTCGATACTGTCGATGGCATTTTTGCAGGATTATTTGATTCTAGACTGATCGAATCGTTCTCTCAAATAGTAAAAAGTAATTGAAAATAGGAAGAGTGCTCCGCATTAGTGGGTAGGCTTGTTTGAAAAATCTCTTGAATTCAGTTAATTTCCTTTTGTATTGTGTGTGGCAGGATAATTTCTCAAAATGGGATTATACCATCTGTTTTCTATTTATGGCCGTACGACTGCTCTTTATCCAGGATTCGCTCGTCAAGCCGCTGCCATACAATACTATCAAAGTTACACACCTGTGTATAATCCTTATGGGCGGGGTTGCATCGCACTTATGAGCGGCGCGCTTCGACCGTCACCAAATGAGAATTTAACATAAGCGCGACAATACCATTTACAGAAATATATACGGGGCTGTTCATTAACTACGTAGACAGTTTTTTTTGGATTCCCGCACTTCTGAAAACCGGAAGAACCGACTAGCGACAATCGATTATAATCTCGTTCTGTACGTTGAACATAGTGTCGGAAATAGTACGCGGTATAGCGCATCATTGTGAGGTTACAGCGTAATTCTTCCGACACTATGTTTAACGTACAGAACGAGAGTAAAATCGATAGTCACTAGTGGGTTATTTCGGTTTTCAAAGGTATCGATAATACAGACGAGAGGGTTGCTGGCTGCAATCGATTTAGCAAATCAACTCGACAACTTACCCCATGAGCACACGTTGATTTCTTGCTCTTAATTGGTTTTTAATTAAGAGCCACTCTATGCCTCATAGTGGCACTTTTGTGTCACCCGGCTATCCAGATTATATTTTGTTCTTTTTTAGAACCGATTTACCAGCTTTAAGGATTCCAGTCACTGCAGTTTCGTTACAAGCAAACTTAAATACTAATATCCTCCAAGTCCCTACATTTGACGCTAGAACAGTTGCGACACGATGGCATTAAGTATCGTCTTAACGAGTATTTCAGCTTACGGTATGTATAACTGGTCAACCCAGGATCTTCCACCAAAAAGCCGTCAGGTAGTTTACTGATTTGCCAAATGATTTCTCCAATATCAAAATCATTGTCGCGATCTATGTCTCATAAATGCAATCATGACTGCTAACGCCAGTGGGATACAGATGGTGATGGTGCCCTGATTTTGGGACAAAACTCGACGCACCCATCCCACACCATTCCTCGAACCATAAACAGCTTCCAAACGGTATATTCACCGATACCAACACCTATATCCACCCTTGAAAGACCACAAAGCCAATAATACAAACTTTTGTACTATCAACTAGAGAAGCAAAACCAAAAAACTACAATACTACATACAAAACTCGAAACTGGAAAGTAATATAAAGATACAATAACTTATTTACATCGTCTCGTATAAAAGTAGTGTGTTAACTAAACAAATAATCTTAAATAAGCTAAAAGCAAACAAGCAAAAAAAAAAAGTCATTCAGAATGGCATACAGGCAGGCAGTGAACGTGTCGTTTCATAGGAAATAAAATAAAATTGAAGAGGCATTGCTTTTCTTTTCATCAAATCGATGGTAGTGAATATACTCTGAAATTTAATAATCAAAAGGAAAATATGTATTCGCTCGTTGAGCTTTTGATTTCGTGGTTTTACGTTCGGTTTTGAAATATGTGTTAGATTTTTGATGAGACGACGAGCAGATGGTTGTAGTTTATTTGAGGAAAATCAAAAATAAATGGAACAGGTAGGAGGACGTTTTTGTACATAAGGTCAAAACGCTCACAAATCTACATTTACTCTTCTTTTGAAAATATACCTTACATGCTTAGATTAAGGAGGAGAAAATAAATACAAACAAGTTCAATTGAACGTTGGGAGGCTTCGTTATGCAGCATAGAATGTGAAAGAAATCATATAATGACTGTGGGATAGAATCAGACAGAACAATGTAACGCCGTAACACCGGGTAGGGTAAAACAGTAAACACTGGTCGCAAATCAAATCTCAATAAGAAGGAAGAAGGATAGTCTGCCCATAAAAGCATAACTGTCCCATATGAATAGGAAATATTGAATCGATCCAAGAGCTTTGTAACAGTGGCTCTGACAGCGATTGCTTGCTGGTATGCGGTGACTACAATCAACCTGGGATATCCTGGAGTTGGGCTGATGGCGAGATTCGACCTGTGAACACTGTTCCTTTACCAGTTGCTAGCTCATTCTTGATTGATGGCATGGATTTCCACAACCTGCATCAGAGAAATCTCGAGCGCAACCACTTAGGACGCATCCTGGATTTGTTCTTTTGCCATACGGACTTTCCTGTGGAAATCTCGAGATCTGTTTCACCACTCTTGCCAGTTGATCTTCATCATCCGCCACTAGTCGTCTGCTTACCATCTCTAGTTGATGACGGTGCACTGCTGCTGAATGCGAGTGATGAGCTTGCGTTAGACTATAGCAAGATTGATTTCGATGTTCTAATGGACTTCCTTTCCGTCACTGACTGGGATCTTCTTTTCGATGGACTGAATGCTGATGAAATGGCTGAAACGTTGTGTGCTGTGCTAAATAATTGGATGGATACAAACGTACCGATTCATCGGCCTGCTGTTTCTCCTGCGTGGAGCACCGCTTTGCTACGAAAACTAAAACGAAAAAGAAATGCTTCGCAACGTAGACTTCGGCGATACCGTTCCCTGGCAAATAAGCGTAGTTTTCACTTGGCGTGTAACGAGTACCGTAATCTAAACTCTTCGCTCTACAAATCGTACGTTTTACGAGTGCAAACTAATTTAAGGCGAAACCCCAAGAGCTTTTGGAGCTATGTAAACTCGAAGAGGAAAAAATCAACAATGCCTGCAAGCGTTTTTTTCAATGACGTTGAATCGTCGATAGGCGGGGAGAAATGTGAGCTTTTTGCTGCTCATTTTTCGTCGGTTTTTGCCGCAGAATCCATCACCTCGACTGAACTTGTCTCGGCTGTTTCGGATGTGCCTTCAAACCTTGTTGACATAAAAACTTTTGAAATAACGCCCGTTATGGTAACTAATGCCGCCAAGAAAATGAAATGTACCTTCTCGCCTGGACCAGATGGCATTCCTTCTGCAGTGTATTGTCGTACCATTGGAGCGCTTGTTGAACCGCTTTGCAGAATCTTCAACAAATCTTTTGTAGAGTCGAAATTTCCTGCAATCTGGAAAGATGGTTCCGGTACACAAGAAAGGAGATAAACGTGACGTTAAAAACTACAGAGGAATTACTAATCTCTCTGCAGCATCAAAACTGTTTGAGATAATTGTGAGTGGTTTCATTCTTGAGCACACCAAATGCTATATCTCTAGTGACCAACATGGCTTCATGCCTGGACGATCGGTTACCACAAATCTTCTAGATTTTACCACGACATGTTTTGAGCAACTGGAAAATGGGGCACAAATAGACGTCATCTACACTGATCTAAAAGCAGCGTTTGATACGATCAACCATGACATTATGTTGGCAAAGCTATCCAAACTCGGTGCGTCGGACCGTTTGACTTCGTGGTTGTGCTCCTACTTGACTGACAGGTCTCTGCGAGTGAAACTCGATTCCAGTACTTCCTCGTATTTCACGAACTCGTCAGGTGTACCACAGGGTAGCAATCTTGGCCCGTCGCTGTTTGTGTTGTACATCAACGACGCACTTCTTCTACTTGGAGATGGCTGTAAGCTTGCTAATGCCGATGACCTAAAGCTGTACTTCGTGGTGCGGACTGCTGAGGATTGCATTCATCTTCAATCGGTATTGGATCTGTTCGTTGATTGGTGTCGTCGGAATAAGCTTACCCTCAGCATTCCTAAATGTATGGTAGTGTCGTATTACCAACAATCAATACGAAACTAACGATTTTAAATTGGCTCACCACTTTAGTAGCCTATTGGTCCCAAGCAAACGATTAACGTACCCTATTCTAGTTGAAATTCTATTACTACACTATGTTTGTTTTGATTCGCTATGAAAGTTTGACAGATAACATCAGGGGTGTGTGGATTCATGCAGAACATGCAGGGGTGAGTGAAATAGCTTGGGACTGCTTGGGACCGTTGTTCTGGTACTGAGTGAGTCAAAAATAATAATGATTTTCTTCGGGACCCAGTGGTCTTAGAGTTACCTCTATGGTAGTACGGTAACTGATGATGGTTGGACCTATTTTTTCAATCGCTAGTTTAGTCAATCTTCGCTAATTTTTTTTAAAGATCTTTTTACTATCATAAAAAACTCCTTTTCTTCAATTTGCATGGGTGTTTTATTGAAAAAAAAACTTCAAAACAATTGAGTTTCAATGTGTTTTCAAAACAGTTCACTTTCCACGCATTAGCTCGTCATCATGCCTTACTTTCAAACATACAAAAAAGGAATATTTTTTACATATATTTTTATTTTCATGCAGTAAAATACTGCTTTAAGGTGTAAACAACACGTAAGTACGCGATTTACCTATTGGTTTCACTAAAATGTTTGAATAATTGACGAAATTCGAATAGATAATTATGATCATGGTTGGACCTACGCATGATGATGGTTGGACCTATGTGTTTCCTAAGACGGCCGCTAGGTGCGCTTCGGTTTGTGTACATCCTTCATGCGCAGCTGATTTGAAATTCGATTTCGTTTTGGCCGAGTGATAAGTTTCTTCGATTGAAAAAATGGCTAAAGAAAAGAGTTATACGGTCGAAAATCTTCAAGAGACTGTTTTTTTAGTAAGAAATAAATCACTTACCGCGTATCAGGCACAGAAAAGGTACAATATTCCGAAAACGACACTTCACGCAAAAATTAAGGGAAGCCACGGCAAGAAATATGGAAGGGAAATAGTCAGAGTTGTTTGGAAATGCTAACATGAAGCTTTAGTGTGATGATTTATTAGCTAGAGAATGATCTTTAGAAGAGGGTAGGTGGAAAGTTCCGTTAGAGTACGGCAGAATGAAAATTGAATAGAAGTTGAAAATGAGCGAAGGGCCATTAATGCGTCAGTTTTTCAAGATAGACGCACATTTTTGCCTAACCCGTACGATGTACGCGGGGACTTGAGACATACTTCAAGTCCCCGCGTACATCGTACGGGTTAGGCAAAAATGTGCGTCTATCTTGAAAAACTGACGCATTAATGGCCCTTCGCTCATTTTCAACTTCTATTCAATTTTCATTCTGCCGTACTCTAACGGAACTATCCACCTACCCTCTTCTAAAGATCATTCTCTAGCTAATAAATCATCACACTAAAGCTTCATGTTAGCATTTCCAACCAACTCTGAAAATCGTTAACTTCGCGTATGAAGTAACATAAAAAACAGTTTGAAGGGAAATAGTGTTGAGTGTTGATTTGGAGAACCAGCTAGGGTATTGGGTTTGTATGCGCGCTGCGAGAACCAGCTAGGGTATTGGGTTTGTATGCGCGCTGCTTCTGGCAGTCCCAAGACGAACAAAAAGATCTTGGAAGCTGCTAAAGACCTTGAGTCACTAGTTGGGCGTAAGTTTAAAGGAGGAATTCCATCGTCAGGTTGGCTGAAAGGGTAACCACCGATTTCCAAAATTCCAAGAAAGCGCGGAAAGAATCTGTTAATATGAATTTACATTAAGCACTTCTCATACACCTTCTGTGTGTGAATTAACTTGAAATAAAATGTTAACAAACTAAAAATTGCTAACTGAAACTTATTTTCGAAAAAAAAACTCCTAGGAGAAAAAAAAACTATAAGAGCGGAATTGAGTTCTGATGTTCTGTCATTTTAAGCCCCTAAATTCCCCGGGGGCACCCAGAACCTGCCCGGAAGTGGCCAATGTGGTCCAAGGCACTCAATTTTGTTATTCATCTTGTTATCGAATTTAGAATTATTGTGAAGTGTTGCATGATAGGTTTTATTCCTTCCATGTCAAAATTAGGTCCATGTTCCATATACCCTGGAACTTGTTCCTTCCATATCTCCGGAACCAGTAGACCGATTCCAAAAATATTCGATAGCTTTCAATGGGACCACAATACCTATATATTGACGTTAAAAAATTTCCAAATCGGGTCAATGATTTCCGAGAAAATGAGCCATGATGAATAGCTAATGCGTGAACTTTTTTAAAAACGAAGTTAAACTCAAATTTCTTGATGTTTTTAAATAGCAAATTCATAAAAACTGTATAAAAAGGGTTTTTTCATGATACCAATAAGCTCTAAACAAAGTTTTTGAACAAATATGGGCTAAACTAGCATTTGCAAAAATAGGTCCAACCATCATCATTTTTTAGGTCCAACCAAGATCAGTATAGGTCCAACCAACATCATAATTCTTTGCTGAATAAAAACGTTTTAGAAAATCATTTGTTCAGAATATTTAACTTTTTATATTATTATTAGAAACAAGAAAGGTAGATCTTTCCCCTAATCACGCATTTTTCATAATTATATGTTGCATTCATAAAAAAAATACGATATGAATGTTGACGTCGTGTGAAACCGGCCTAAATAGGTCCAACCATCATCAGTTACCCTATTACTCGTCCGTACACAGTAAGGGCTAGGTGTTAACTATAATGGAGATTTGTGTTGTTGGATGCAGGAGGAGATTGGAGGGCGGGTGTTTGACGCATAGAGCCTGTCAATTTCGCTTTCAGAGTGTCGAAGTCAGCGGTTTTATGATTCGTGAGCGCTCGCGATTCGTAGAATCGTTGATTGTGATTGCAAGTGGATTTAGCGGGTTTTGTGTGTCGAACGCTTGCTTTTTGGCCTCTTCTGGTGTCTAACGTGTGCAGAGTATCATTATAGAGTCTAGTGGTTTTGAGATTCCTGGTTGCGTAAAATATATTTGTGAGAATGTCTTTTTGAGATTTTGGTAGTCACGCTTTGTTTGAAGTTTATATTTTATTTCTTTCAGGTAATTATCGTAAATAATAGTTATTCAATAATAGATAGTTCATCCGTATATTCGTACTTTGACGCGAAGAGCTGTGAATTATGAGATGCTCGATGACTCTGGAGGGATCGATTTTGCTTACTGAGCAGAAAATCATGGATTTAACCCCTATCTCTTCCACAGCACAATAAATCGCCACCATCATTTGTATATTTGATATTGAACATTAACCTCGGAAACTATTTGCATATCAAGCGAAAACGTAGTCCTGTATTGTCGCGAAGCGTTATGGTGCTGAGATGCTCGATGACCCTGGAGGGATCGTTTTTGCTTACTGAGCAGAAAATCATGGGTTTAATCCCAAGCTCTTCGTCATGACTCTTAAAATTCATGATCACTAAACAAAATGAATATGTTCTTTAGATAGCCGGCTATCGAGAGATTAAATAAACAACAAATAAACAATACATACTTTTGGTTGCATCGCCAACTTGAGGTGAATCCTTACCGAATACCCTACCCAACCCTCCAACTCCGTAGCACTTATGAGGGTGTCGCTAAGTCGGTGGCCTCTCGTTAAGTAAGTACTACCTCAACATTTCCTTCCCTATCCCTAGTTATGGTAAAGATGGGCGTGGCCGGGAATAGCGACAGTGATGCTTCTGTTACTCTTGTTTAGATTGGAACCAATGTTTACTACCCAGCATTATTCCTGAAAGTAGTCTAACTGAGAATTTCAGAAAAGACGTCAGTGTCGCTAGTATCCAATCTACGAAGTATATCATAACAACGCTAACGCTAACGGTATAGTAGAAGGAATCCAAAACTGTGAAGCTAGTACCTGTACTCCAAGTTCGAAATGTTCACTGATGCCAGTTGTTACGTTTTTCTTCAGAACGGTGGAGCAGTATTGGAGACAAGCAGCTACGAACCGAGATAGTTGGCGCAATATTTGTACAGCAGGTCAAATCTGGACGGACTTCGATCTCGGTGTGGTACGATTATAAGTTCAACAAGCCATTTCTGGGACATTCGGATTAATTAACTTTTCCCACCCACTTGTCTGCATAGGTAACCGTACTAGCCTATAGATAAAAATAATATATATATATATTCTGTTTCTTAAAGCTATTAGGTATGTTTTTACAAAATTCGTAATTTTTCGTGCTCTATTGAGCACCTACGACACAATTCCATGTGCAGGTGTTTTGTTTCCGCAACACCCCGTTCTTATCTGTATAAGCCTTTTCTGGTTGCTGATGTTTATACATAACTACGATTTTGAGCCCAATTTACAGCTGGCTTTTGCAACTCAGTTTAACAGCGCAATACACTATATACTTTGTTGTTTTCGGCATAATATGTATGTGTGTGTTTTCTGTTTAGTCTGAGAATCTTCTATTCGTATAATAGCTATTAAAAAAAAAAAACGAAAAAAGTAAAAAATAACTGGATTCAAATCAAAACAACTACCTAACCGGACTGGACCAGTTAAAACTCGAACGCCTAATGAAGTCTTTCTGTACTAAATCTTACTAATAATTAATCTAAAAACAGTTTTGATGAGTTTCCATTTTCACACGCCTCGCACGCGGTACCAACGATTTGTAGAAAACCATTTAAAATCGTGTGTTTTTCACCACTATCACTCACAAGCATCCCTTATACAAAGTTAGTCACCACCCGCTGCGACTTTGACGAGAAAATCCACCCTCGACTCGGTTCTCACACTATCAGGTGTAACCTACCTTGCACCTGCCCGACCAGGACATTGCATGACGAGGCGGTAGAATCATATTTACGACAGTGCTGCCGCATCGGACGCCGAGGGACTGCAACGTATGGTGGCTTTCGTGGGTCTGCAGGGCTGCTAGTGGCAGTGCTCAGTAACGTCAACGATTACCGATTTTTTCCACCCGAACAGGAAGTAACCGAGGGCAGCACCCAGCACGACGGCAACGCACAGCCACGTGTTGTACGTCATGAAGATCAACATCAGCAGGAAACTCAGCGTTACCTGGAGGATGTGTAGGAAGGTTTGGAACAGGTGCATCGCCGACAGCATCGTGGGTCTGCTGGGGGAGATTGGTGGAAGAAGAACACAGAACCAAGAACAAAAAGATGCATGAGTATGGGATTAACTTGAAGAATGAAGGGAAAATTGAAATAAACACCACGAGGAAAATTGGAGTGCTATTGGATAAGATATACGTGTGGCTAGTGATGGTAGATAGCATTATGTCCAACTTATAATCTTAGGAAGGCAGCTGTTTTTGACAGTTTTGTGAGATAGGTGGTAATCGTTTTGTTGTACAGTAGGGTAAGGTGGGGCAAAATGGGACATCTACTTGTTTTATTTTTTGTTATTGCCAACATCACCTTGTTGCCGCAATCAGTGTCTGTTTTTAGCAATTACCATCACAAGCAATGACTAGCGCTTCAACCCAAGGGTAGATGAATTGGGTTTGTTTTGATAATGTTCACTGTCACGTACGAGCGGAATGAATGTTATTCCTCAACGCTTGAGTATCACATCAATTTCGTTTTGGGCAAAATTCTTATTTTTTAATATTATCGATCCCAGAGCCAAACCTAGATCTACAAAGCATGACCATGCTGGAGGTGGCTGGGTTCGATTCCCGGTCCGGTCTATCAATTTTTCGGATTGGAATAATAACTGTGGAAGTGCATCTAGAACACTAAGTTGAGAGCACGCAATAAGCTACATATGTATGCGAAAAGCAATAAGCTTTAAATGTGAAGAAGAAGAAGATCCAAAAACCTCAATATTATCATCAATTCAGCATGAGGTAAGAATTTTTCATCGATCTGAGTGTGACAAACAACACAACACGTTCTACAGTGCTATATTTATGTGAAATGATAGTAATCATTTTGCATTTGGTACTCAAAATCATCCCCACCAGATGAAGACGAATATTGATATTGATAACAACACAGGCGGTAATGAACATCCATCCACGAATGAACAAAAACAAACGTTGATTTTGAAACTCAGTGGTTGCCTTGATTAAGAGATTGCTGTCATGTGAAAATTCAAATTGATGCAACTTTTAAGGTTTCCTTAATTTTCAGCTAATTAGGGTTGATGCATATATTATGTCACGCTCTAAGGGGGAGGGGGGGGGGGGTTTAAGATTTTGTGACAAGCAATGCATTAGGTAATAGTCAGTTTTAATTACTATCAATACATAAAATATGTATAAATGATTCCAAAATATAAGTTTATTCACTATATTATGTTTCTAAGTGACGATCATTAGAGGCATCTGTGTATAAATAGTAAGAAATAATAAAATTTTCGAATGATTGTTCCAATTAATTATTTAACTTAAATTAAAAAAAAGTGAAAAATAAATTACGTAACCATTGCCAAAAATATGGCAAATTTTATATCTAATTTATAACAACGGTTGTTATATATGTATATTTTTGAATGCAATAGATTATATCTAATTTTGTAATAATTTTGCTATAATCATATCAATATCTGTTATAATTTTGTTATGATTTTTGTTATTTTAACAACTAACCAGCCAATGTTTATAACACATAAATAACTACAGTTGTTATAATTTTGTTATGCCTTTCTGATCGGGTAGGGGGGGGGAGGTAGCAATTTTTTGCTCGATTTAGCGTGACATAATTGTAGATCATATATTTTTATCAAACCATCATTAAGATTACATTGAAGCTGTTGATTTAGACGAACAGATAAATTAATAGATGTACTAGCTGACCCATCTTGCCCAATCTTACCCAACTTTTTTTTCGTTGTTAGTTAATGTTTCGTGTGCAGATAACATGCACTAATCGTACCATCTGCATCGCAACTACCTAGTTTACTTTTGAGCATGCTGCAAGCACAGTTTTCAGAAGTCAATTGAGCTGTGCTTTCTCAAGGCAGCTTATCCTTTTTTTACAAAAACTTATCCAGAAACTCCATAAACTATTGAACTCTATAAACCATATGATTATGAAGTCTTTACTGGTTGGTGGTTTATTTCGGAGTGATCTGTACATAATTGCATGACAGTCACAAAAATGGCCTTGAAACGTCAAAAAAGCGTTGAAAACACGTATTAGTTTGAGACCCGACAAAACAACGTCGAAATCTAGGGGTAAGCCAGCTGTACTCCGAGCTAATATTTTTAAATCGAGTAAATTTGAGTTACTCATAATTCTAAATAGAGCTGGAATTAGGGCGTAACAGCTTTTGTAAACAATGATTTCTCTCGATGATTTATGGAAAAAAAGGGTTAAACGTAACGAAAAATTGTGAGTATTCGCTCAGTGTGTAAAAAAATTGTTTATTTTGGCAACACACCTGAAAAATAATAAAAAAAAGTACGAAATTTCGAATGATGGGTCGGATCAGCTTATCAACTCACAGATTAATTCTGCACAAATGGTTTTCCGAAAAGTTGTCGTTTCGAGAATTGGCAAAAAACGTGAAGTGCAGTAGATCTACAGTGTTCAAGATTGTTAAGAAGTTTGGAGTGCAGTATTACAGAAGTCATTTCAATCCAAAAACTTACAAGCTTTTTTTTTTTTCTTTATTTAAGAGATTTTTAGCCTTAGGCTAGTTCATCTCTAGCTTACAAGCTTTCAAAAGTACTCAATATACCAAACTGCTCATGTTTAAAAGAAGAAAAAATATCCTAGAGTTATTATTCAGATTTCGCATTAATCACTTCAAGCCAGAGGCTCACAATTTTCCCATATTTCAGAACTTAAAGGATAACTCGAAAGAACTGCTGTTTAAACACGAAGGGGATCCTAGAATTATTTATTGAATTCTGATTTCGTATTCATCATTCTAATACCCCGGACCAGGCATACCAAAAGTACCGCCTCATGACAGTATTCCAACGGCTGTCGCTTTCTTTTTCCTACGACAGCCTTGAGATTGAGCTATAAGCGACAGCCCACAGTGAGGCTGTTATACGACATGCAACGTTGCCGTCTTGTGCAGTACACGACAGCTCGTTCTTAGTCATGTATTTTGTTCGTTCGGCTATGACAGCCTCGGATGGTCATTCGTAACGTTCCTCGTACATACAACAAGCAGTCCGTCAAACTGCCGATTCGTTGCTGCTGACTTTGAAATTTTGTTTGTATGTCGTAAGACTGCTACTACACTACCAGTGTTGCGCCGGAGCTTGTTCGGTTGATATCACGTTCGTGCTGCCCATTGCAAAATTTTCATCCGATATTTTTTTAAAAAAGCACGGTTTCCGGCGAAAAATATAAGCCTACCCGACACCAACCTGACTTCTACCAAACCCCAACCCGATGTTGGCCCGACATAGACCCGACATAAACACATAATTGACCCGACATCGACCCGACATTTGGCCGACGTCGACCGTAAATTGACCTTACATTGATCCGACCTCGGGCCGACATATCTGTTCGGGATCATTCTTCTGGGTTTCTTCCATACTCTACTGCCGTATATTAATTGTATATAATGTCTCGTGACAGCCTTTTCGTGACAGCCACTTGGGTAAGCTGAGGGATGTCGTCGGTTTGTGAAGGCTGTTATGACGACAGAAACATTGAGAACCTGGTCATAAAGAAATGTATAAATAAATACAGCCCATTCGGTTCACTACGTTCCAAGCACGATGATTTTAGCAAAGCGGGTATTAGGTTCTGCAGCGTGACGTCACAAATGAACTCAGTGTTAATAGGCTGAACCTTTTTGACAGTTCAGTGGTACTGTTTACAAGCACTTAGTCGTTTTTTCGAAAAAACAAATTCTAAAATTTCTGAATTTTAACTTGAAAATTGTCGAGGAACAGCGCGGTGAAAGGATGTTGCTCGTGGACAATGCAGAAGTGTGGTTTACATCTCACTGCAGTCTGAAAAATTATCGAGAAAATCTACCCAAGAAAAAAACGACTAAGTCCACGTAAACAGTACCACTGAACTGTCATCAGATTGAGGTTAACCCCGACGGTGCAAAACCTAATAGATGCGACTGTTCTAATACAGCTTTCATTCGTTGGTGCGTGCGCTGTTGCCAATACACTTCGAATTCAGATCTGAACGTACGGTAGCAAGCGGTAGTAAAGCACACGAAGCAACAGTCAATTCAGGTATAAACCAACTGTCGCGAGGAGGCTGTACTTTTTGGAAGCCTGCCCCGGACAGACTATGGCTTATATCATGTAAGACAGCCTTGCAATGAACACTCATACATCTAGTTTTCACTGGAAATCCAATGTATGAGTACTCATTGCAAGACAGCCTATATTACATGATATAAGCCATAGTCTGTCCAGGGTATAAAGCTGTGTCCCAATCGGTGAGTTAAATTATAACTCGTAGTTATAAATGACAGATAGAAAGAGCGTTGTTATTTATGACATAAAAAGTTTGATTTTGATAACCGTGGTTGAGTTCTACTCATAAACCGGTTACACAGCAATTTTGTAATATGGAAAATTACTTCGAAATGTCACTTTTAACTCCGGATTGAAACGTAACATGGAAAATTACTTCGAAATGTCACTTTTAACTCCGGGTTAAAACGTAGCCCTAGTCATGCTCTGCAAACTGTCTTCGGAGAAGTTGCTCAAAATGATATCCCGCATCTTTTGAAATACACACCTGGATAATCATTAAGCTAGTATTACACATCAAAATTCTAACTTTTTTCAGTTACGAGATAACGGGTTCATGTATATGATAAAGTTCCAGAGCAGTTGATTTTTATGACCATTTGCTGAAGACACATATTTTCTGCAGCTTAACTCTAAAGAGCCAAGGGTAAGTAAATTTGTATTATTCTTCTTTTTGAAATATCATTCAATCATCATCATTAGTATACTCATACATTCACACATTATTAGCCCTCCATTACTCGCGCTGTTGTACTTTGTACAACACACATGAGTTTTCCATTTTGTTTTTGATTAACCAATCGATCTGGAACCAACGAGCATTCCTCAATAAACTTGTTTTGATCTACATAAGCTGAACCTTGATTACAGTAAACACCAGTACAGTAAAGGGAAAATATAAATGGAAACCGCGTAAACTGTGA